GGGAGAGAGAGTGGGGGAGAGAGAGAGGGGGGTGGAAAGAGAGAGAGGGGGGGGAAAGAGAGTAAGAAAAAAAGAAAGAGAGAGAAAAGAAAGAAAGAGAGAGAGAGAAAAGAAAGAAAGAGAAAGAGAGAGTTCTTAAACCCCCAATTGTTTGTGCGCGCGAGCAGAAAAAAATTGCCGTCTGGAGACGGCAACCCGCAGATGCAGCAGTGCCGTCCGTCCGTTTTTTTACTACGGGCGGACGGCAAGAGGTTAAGGACTTTTCTACCAACACAATAAACATTTTAAAGACAAACTCTGAAGAGAATAGAACGAACTGTAGCTGTCTCACACAAGAGCCTCATAAACACTTTACAATATTTAATACGAATCCAGTACAAAACGATATCAAGCATATCTTTTGTTAAACAAATATTATGAAAAACAGAAAAATCTATTTCAATTACTTACACTTTCCTTTGCAAACCAAGTTTCCAGCGCATTAAACCAGAACCAGGCCACCTGCTGAGAAGTGTGTTTGTCAGTGCATCTGCAAAAAAAAAAATTGTTTAAGTATTTGCAGTATTTTATCAAACAAAATTTAAGATGCGGAAGCAGGTTTGAATTTTAAATATGTATAATAAACTTCCCGGATATGAGGGGATTGGCCAAACAGGTCTGAGCATTGCTACATGGGAGCAGTCAAATCCTAACCTATAAAGGGAAGCCCAGTTCCAAGGAAGCAGGAAAGCAGCGATGGAGGAGGGTAGGCTGTCACTCAGACTCAGCGGATCAGAGGTAACCTGATGTAAATGGCCACATGTCATCACATCTGAGTCCTCAAGATGGGTCCAGTAATTTAAGTTTTTCACTCCATCGCAAGATGGAGGAAAAACCTGGATGGATACAGATACAGATGTCAGGAGCGAGGCCACAGCATCCCAGGTGGCTAAAAGCTCTTAGCCACCTGTGATGCTTTGTCAGGCTTCCCAGCAAGGTCACCGCCGCTGACAGCCCACCCCCCAGAAAGAAAACATTCACTGATGGCAATCCCCCCTTTCCAGTAATAATCATACAATGAAAGCAAATTCCCTCCCCACCTCTGGCCTCAGGGGCAAATAGTGAAGGGACAGACCTGATTAAAAGTAGGCACCGAAATTTCAGCCGAAAATGGTACTATGGGCAAAATGCTGATAGCACCAAAATGGCCAAAAATACGGCAGAAACTGCAGTGCATCCTTAACTTCTCCCCTCCCTGCTGGATGCCTGCCTGTGTCCCCCTCAATCCCCCCTGCTCTCCCCCACCTGTGTCTGCAAAGGCAGCAGGGATCAGAGGGGATACAGACCGGCGCGCAGCGGGGAGAAATTGTCAGAAGGCCGAGCGGGGTGTTGCGGGGAGGCAACAGCTGTTCGCTATCACAAAAGGCCGAGCTTTAATCCTGCACGGCCCTGCTCGGTCTTCTGTGACAGGCGAGTCAGGATGGGGAGCAGAGTATAAACACTCAGCGATCAGAACCGATCGCTGAGTGTTTGTAAATAACCAAGGACATAGAATGCTTACTGTATCCCCGGTTATGAAAGAAAAAAATATATATATATTTTTTTTTTTTTTTAAAGGCTGGGGGAAAAAAGTAATTTTCGGTTATACCTGACAATTTTTTTAATTTTTTGTTTCAGTCTAAAAATGTCATTTCAGTGCATCCCAACTTATAAACTCATATTCAGACATATAGGTTGAACTAGATGGATCTGTGTTATTTTTAAACATTATTAGCTATGTAAGACTGGAACTAAAATCCCTAGGAGTAGCAAATGATCCCTAAATAAATAGAACAAGTGGATAACTGAGGAGCAAATAAAAATAAAGCAGCATTAAAAGGAGAACTATGGGGTCAGTGTTTTTCCACATAGTTCCCCTTAGGGTAACGGGAGGACACAAACTAGCGTCCTCCCGTTACGCCGCAGCCGGAGCGGATCCCGACGTAGATGACGGGATCCGCCCAGCTGCGTGAGTGACAGCTGGCTCTGCCTATCTAGAGCAGAGCCAGCTGTACCCGCCCCCTCCCCCGTCCGTTCCGCCAGTCAGCGCTGGCAGGTCGGAGCGGGGAGAGGGGAATCCAGCCCCTCCCCCTGTCACAGCAGAGAGCCATGACAGGATCGAGAGGTGAGCGAACCTGGTATGTGTTCGCTCACCTCCCGATCTACTGAGCCGACCTGTGACAGTCTCATTGTCACAGGTCGGCTAGAACTATGAGGTGAGTGGAAATCACTCATCTCATAGTTCTCCTTTAAGTAGCATCTTGTATCGATCACTCACACATGGAAGAATGGGGCATGCATTACATTGAAGGGACGTAACAACAGTACACTGCATGTAATGATATGTGACACTATTACATGCAGTGAGGAATCAATCACTATCCCTGGACGCACAATTGATGATGATCCCTAACCACATGTAATCGTATCACATATGATTACATGCAGTGTGCTGATGTTCAAAAACAGCAGCTGTCACCCGATCATAACTTGAACGGGCGACAGCTGCTGCTTGTAAACAGTAGATTAGGGGATTCCTGCTACAGGAAAATGCAAGTTCCTGATGCAGGAAGCCCTAAGGCCTTGTTCACACCAAATGCAGAGCAGATCCGCTCAGGTTTCGGCACATAACGTGCAGTGGGTTGTGCCGCGTTTTTGATGCGTTCTGGGCCGTTTTTGGTTTAAAAAAAATTAAAAAATTTGTTTAACATGGGCTTTCAGTGCGTTCCAGGCATGCGTTTTTGATGCGTTTGCATGCGTTCCAGAGCAGGTAAAATAGGGATTGCTGCAGTTTTTCACCTGCTCTGAACTGCACGCTGCGATGTGAACTGAAGCAAAAAATACCATTGGAATACATTGGACGCAGTTTTGATCCGGTCTGCAACTGCTCCGCGCTTGGTGTGAACAAGGCCTAAACGCACCTACATTGTAGGTGTGAATAGGGCCTAACAGGTGTGCTTAATTGTACACTGCATTTATTAAAAAATCAACCACAAGAGCTTGCTCACACTGGTCTGGACCAGATGTGGGTGCGTTTCTGCAACCACAGTGCAGTGCATTTTTTATGCTTTTGTTAGCTTAAAATGGGATTTCAGGTGCAGTTCACTGCGTTTGCATGCATGTTGGTGCGTTCCACAATGACCAGACCAGACAAAAAAAAAATAGTGCATGCAGTATTTCCCCCCCCTGCACTGGAATGGACTGCACTTGTGTGAATAGAGCCCAAAAATACAACTGTAATAAATTGGGATGCATTTCCAGGTGCAGACAACAACAAAAAACATTTTGTCCTGGATCTAGTCTGGACATGGTGTGAATAAGCCCTGAGGGCCCATTCACATTATCAAGTGCGTTCATCACACAGTACCATGCCATGAACGCACTGGATCACATTCTGAAAGCCTTGCTGCGTGGACCATGCTTGCATGTGCAATTGCAAAAAATAGCGCATGTGCTGGAACGCAGAGCATTGCTGTACCATGCATTCCGGTGATCGCACTGCAGACTGGAGGCGTGTCTGCGGTGCCATTGACATGAATTGCGCCACCACGCTCCTCCCACCCCAGAACACGGGGAGGTTTTGTGTATGCGATCCAGTGCGTTCATGGCACGGTACTGTGTGATGAACGCACTGGATAGTGTGAATGGGCCCTAAAGACAGACACTATTCCCTAAACTACTTATACCTTTTTCGGGTGTCCAGCATAACATAACATAGCACACATGTTGATTGTCAAAGACTCTGATTGCAGTGTGTATAGTCCCATCATCACTTTACACTGCACTGCTTCTCATTAAAGAGTGTTCCCCCTTCCTATAATAACATGTATTCATTACTAGGATGATCAGATCACAGTCTGTCCCCCATACTCACTGTAGAAAGTGCGGAGCTGCAACAAGACCTCTCACCAAGTCCTCTATTTCGCCCGCTTTAGGACTCCTATGTAATGTGGGCAAGCAGGCCCTTGCCAGCTCCCAGTGGCCTCTTAGCAGACACCGGCAGAAGAATTCGCACAAAGACTTCAGAGAAGCCATTTCTTCCTCCCCGAACGGGTGCGCCATACTTCATATAGAGCTGTCGCACCGGTACCGGGCTCTCAAATGACATTCCCTACTTCATGGTGTTTGTCACTGGTACAGGAATACCTAACGTGACTTCTTCAGGTCATGTGACAAGGAGACATTGACAGTCACGTGACAGTGAGGCGTGCACAGCGCCCTCTGTGTTTGTATTTGTCACTGCAGGACTTGGTTGGCTGTATTTTGGGTGCTAAAGAAAAGCTTGCAAAAGCCGATGTTCTGTCGAGAATGCCGACCCAGTCGAATCTTCCGACCTCACCATCTGCGCTTGCGCAGACACCGGGATAAACGAGAAAACAGCCATTTATTTACAAAGCATTTCTTTGTAATTGTTAATTGTGACCGTTCATAATATGCTATCTATGACTGTAAATGATGGATGGCATTTTATGCACATTCACAATTAACAATTACAAATAAATACTTTGTAAAAAAATGACTGTTTTCTCGTTCACCCCGGTGTCTGCGCAAGCGCAGATGGTTAGGTCGGAAGATTCGACTGGGTCGGCATTCTCGAAAGAACTTTGCGATCAAGATCAAGCGAGCTTGGAGCAGTGGATACTTTAGAACACACACAGAGACCATGGGGATCAAAGTAGCCACCATCCAGAAGGAAGGACAGGGTCAGCACCAATTCAGAGATGATTTGAGGATCTACAGCCGAGTGATACACAAATAAGATAAATTTTTGTTAATAGTTAAGGTACTTGAATGCATTTTTAGTAGGCCTGCGGAAATTAACGATTAATTCTTCGATTAATCGTTAATTTTTTTGATCGATCAAAATTATTTTGATCGATCAAAGTTCTTTTGATCCATACTCACCTCTCCGCCGGCTTCCGGGTCTTCCGTCGATGTCACCGGACTCAATCGAGCACATTAAACCTTTCCCTGTGATCGTTTTTTTTTTTTTTCTTTTCTGACATCGGCAGCCGCGGCCTGACCGTCAGTCAGAACATTTAAAAAAAGGCATACGATTGCATAGCTAGATTCCTATTGGCTATTGCACTTTGCAATAGCCAATAGCAAACTAGCTAATGCACCCGCCCACTGCTGCTGTCAATCAGCAGAGGGGTGACCTGATTTTTTTTTCTATCAGGTCCTCTTCTGGTGATTGAAAGCAGTAGGGGGCGGGTGCAATAGCTAGTTTGCTATATGGGCACCTCCCTGAAATTGCTTATTTCAGGTTGGGATCCCTGGCATTGACCTATACACATACAGCACAGCAATTAATTAAGTAATAAAATGAACTAGGATCACACTAATCCAGCACGTTATTATTCTGAGTTGCCCCACTCAAGCTGCGGCCAAATTGAGTGGGGCACGTGAGATTAATAACGTGCTGGATTAGTGTGATCCTAGTTCATTTTATTACTTCATTGCTGTGCTGTATGTGTATAGGCCAATGTAGTTGGCTCTGTATGTGCGTTATAATTAATCAAAATTATTCGATTAATCGATTTAAAAAAATTCGATTCATCGAACAGGAAAATTTTAATCATTACCAGCCCTAATTTTTAGGATTTAACTCCTGAGATTAGTGTCACTTTAAGGACCACACAGACAGAAGCTTAGAAACCTCCTTAAATGAGCTGGCCATACACTAGTAGATTTCCGACTGGACTTTTGTACAAAAGATCTTTCTTTAACACCAGATAATGCCAGCAGACACTTCAGACGAATGTCAATCGAGATTTCGTTTGATTTTAACATTCAATTTTGGAATGAATGAAGTTTCCTGAATAAAAAACACATTTACTAATAAGTTGGCCATACATAGTTCTATTTTTTTTTTACTGCAGCGCTGAACACTGAAAAATGGCCTGGCCAGGTAGGGGATCTAAACACCTGGTCTTCAAGCAGTTAAACTGCTTTTTTTAAAAACTTTTTTCATATATCTACTGCTTGCTAGCGGCCGGCTCCTTCGATCAGCTGATCAAGGGATGCCGGCCAAGAGGGTGCTAAAAGCGGCACCCACTGTGAGGATTTCGGCCAATTCCTGAGGAATCAGCCAAAATCCGCATAATGCATGGGCAGCTTTAGAATTTCCTTTGTTCAAGAAACACTTTCCATCCGGTCCTACAAGCATTTTTTTTTTTGTCACTGTGGTCGAAATTGATCGTCATTTGGCCCCATCAACTAATAGAAAGTCAAACAAAAGATCTTTCATACAAAGGTTCTTTTGAAAATCTAAACAGTGTATAGCTAGCTTAAGTGGGGTTTACCTTTCACTGTGGCAGTTCTAAAGGCTGCCATACATTTACAGCAAAGGCTGCCATACATTTACAGTAGTAGTATAGTAGGTCAAAATACCTGAACAGTGACTGTAGCTAATTGGCTGCAGTCACTCTTTAGCCAAAAACTTTCTGCCCGGCTTCTTTGATTTTTAAATTGAAGGCTGCTGGGTTTGAGACTGCCAATAGGGCCACCCATGGAGAAACAGCCAAAATGTGCCCTGTGTATGGCCAGCTTAAGGTGACACTAAACTCAGGAGTTAAATCTATAAAATGCATTTAATTCTCTCAACTATTGACAATGATCTGTGTATCAATCAGCTGTAGATCCTCAAATCATCTTTGAATTGGTGCTGACACTGTCCTTTCTACTGGAGGGTGGCTACTTTTTGTCCCCATGGTCCCTGTGTGTGTTGTAAAGTAGCCACCGCTCCGAGCTCACTCTCTTGATGGACTACAATCTCATGTTTAGTTTACTCCTCTAGAAAACGACCAGCTCGTCCACATAAGAAAAAAGAATACGGCTACTGGTATACGGACTGCATTACAAAAGCTGCATGAGCGTTCAAACCTTAACAGTAGGCTATCTCTGCTACAAGGTATATAAAATGAGGCTAAAAAAAAGCCAGGAAATGTGTGAGCATGTGAATGCCATGCTGGAAATTGTAGAACAGTTATGTGCAATTGGATAGGAAATAAAGATAATCACGTGGTGGCATTACTGCTATGCAGCCTTCCAGAGTCATACAGTGCTCGCTGTAAAAAGACTGGTCACCTGAAAAAGGACTGTTCAATCTGGAAAGTCGAGCAGAGAAAACAAAAGGCACCTACAAGAGAAAGAGTCAAGACAGCCACTCATAATCCACACAAAAAATGTATCCACCTATGGCACAGATAACTAGGGTACTGAAACCCAGAAGCCATAAAAGATATTATATAGAGAAGCTTATCAGGAGATATAACCATACTGCCCTGCCAAATGCTCATGACATGCAAATACTGTATGGAAGCAAAGGCCACACGTACCCCACTACCACAGGCCCCTCAAAGAAAAACCTCCCACCCCATGGAGCTTGTACACCGCGACATGTGGGGACCAATGAAAACTCCCACATCAGGCGGGAACAGATATCTACTGACTTTCATTGATGATTATTCCAGTTACACAACAACTTATCTGATGAAGCTCAAGAATGAAACATCAGAAACACTTCAAGAGTTTGTAGCCATGTCCAGCAACAAATTCCAGTGGAAACCAGGAAATATACGCACCAACAATGGAGGGGAATACATCAGTAAGGAAGTGGAATCATATCTCAAGAAACAGGGTATAGTACACCAGACAACCACACCATACACTCCTGATCAAAATGGCCAGATGCATGCTGTCAGATGCCAACCTACCTAAGAATAGTGTTAGGCTCGATGTTCGAGTCGGACAAGAGTTTGGCTCGAATATCCCTAGTTCGTGTGTTCGGCAGGCTGTTCACCCGCTGAGTGCCCAACAAGGCACTGCGCACCGCACAGTGCCTTGTGGAGCCTTGATTGGCTAAAGCCTTGCACCTGCACTGAAGAACCATGATTGGGCAAAGTAATGATGGCTCTCCTGCCAGGTGCCGTACAACTGTAAACAGTTGGGCGAAGCTAGCTAACTGTCACTGCTAGCTCCGCCCAATTGTTAATGTTTTGCCGGCATCTTTCAGAATGCCATTTTGTGGCGAGAGTTCGTTGCGAGCCGACGGGTCAGGTGTCTTGATCGCCTATATGTGAAACACCCGGTACCGGGTGTTCGCATTGGACGGGTCTTTTCTGCCCGTGCGTGCCCGCTAGGGGGCGCCATCCGCCAATGCAGCAGTGCCGTCCGTCCGTTTTTCTACTACGGGCGGACGGCAAGAGGTTAAAAAAAAAGATAATTTCTATTTATTTTTTATTTCATCGAGTCGTCGTCATTGTGGACAACGCTGGATGTCGTGATTGACCCTGGATTACGTTGTTGGATCCATTTTTTTTAAATAAAGGACTTGTCAAAAACTTGTCTTTTGTTTTTTTTTCAATTAAATGATTTTCCTTAAGTCTGGTGTCTTTTTTAAAACTTTTAATTTGAGCCATTAGTGAATGGGTAAGGGTACCCCTTACTCATTCAGAAGGGGGGGCCACATCTGGGTGCCCCTTTATTAAAGGGGTACACACCATGTGAATAAGCCACCCTGCCAGCACCCCCACAACCAACTCCCCAGGGCTCATGGGGAAGAGGCCCTTGACCCCATCGGCACGGGGGCAACGTGCTTTTCCAGGGGCTACCCTGGAAAAGCACCCTCCCAATGCTGATGGTATGTGGCCTGGTATTGCAGGGAAAGGGGGCCGCTCACTTGTCCCCTCCCCCTTTCCTGCCCTGTCAGGCCTGTGCTCCGATCAAGGGTCTGGTTGGGAATTTTAGGGGGGACCCCACATCTTTTTTTCCCCATTTTTGGGGGGTGGGGCCCCTTCTAAGATTCTTACCTGACCTAAAGGGTCTGATATTGTTTGTTTTTTGTTTTTTTTTAAATGTCCTTTTTTCTTTATAAATGTCATTTTGCTGCAGCAGGTCCTATACATTGTACAGATTTGGCACTTCACAGGCAGTTTAAGGGGACCCCCCAGGCACAATATTTAAAGGAATTTTTCTATTTTATTGTTTCACTTTAAGCAATGTTAAAGTCGTTGCTCCTTTAAAAATGGTATTTTTTAGAAGTGTTTTTTTCATTGATAGTACCTGGATCCCCATACCCTTTTTATGGCCAATAACTTGCAAATAAGGCTTGATTTTCAGAGTTCTCGTCACATAGACTTACATTGAGTTCGAAGTTTGAGTTAGAATTTTTCCATGTTCAAAAGTGTGAACTGGAACCGAACTTGGGTGTGTTCGGCCCACCACTACCTAAGAAGTACTGGGGAGAAGCAGTCATGACTGCACATACCTACAAAACAAACTATCATCAAAAGCCGTTAAAAGCACCCCATTTGAAATGTGGCATGGATCAAAGCCTAGCCTATAGGACACATCAGAGTGTTTGGATGTAAAGCTTACGCCTGTATTCCAAATAAGAAGCAATCTAAATTGGAGTACACAGCCATTGAAGGTATTCTGGTGGGCTATAGTGAACAAAGTAAGGTATATAGAATCCTCCACCCAAAGACTGACAAAGTGACAATACGTCGCAGCATTTATTTAGTTGAGAACCAATCACCAGAATCAATGATCCTCGGAAGTTGTGAAGTGAATTTGCCGAGTAAACTAGCAAAGGATGCTGAACAAAGTGAAGTCGCACAGGATTCAGAACAAGAGGTGGAACTCACAATGGATAACTCAATGTTAAATTCTGCTGAACAACCTGAAATTAGAAGATCCACTCGGGTGACAAAGGGAATACCACCCTGCAAGCTGTCATATACTGCTAAGACACATAGTATACTCAAACCAACATCACGGGAAGACGTCGGAAATTTACAAAAACGTGAATCCAATCAATTGAGAAAAGCAGCAGAAGAAGAAATAAAATCACTCCAAGAAAATAAAACCTGGGCACTCAAGAGCAAGCCATTAACGACATTCAATTCTGATCATCAGAAAGAATGCACTCACCAAGCCATTGCCAAAGGATCATTACAGTTTCCTTCGAGAGGAGCTAAATGTCATATAGCAATGCATATGCTGTTGAGAAAGGGTGTTGGAAATCCAACAGCATATACTGATCTGTCTTTTGATCTGTAGATGGCACTGTAGTGCAATGTTAATCTCTATGTGCATTCTTATATATGATACACAGAAAGTTGTTTTATTTCTATATATATGTTTTCTGCACAATGCTGTATACATACATGTGATGTTCTTCTAAGCAAGCAAAACTTAATTCAGCATTCCTTAGTGCTTCATCTAAACACATAACCAATAGAGGGAAGGTGAGGACAGAGGACGGAGGTGGGAGGCAGGCGCAAGTGGTGGTGACAGCAGAGCGTGCACAGAAGAAGTGGACAGAGGACGGAGTTGGAGAGGCCTCTAGAGACAAGTGGTGGAGACAGCAGCGCGTGGAGGGAAGGTGGGGAAGAGTACGGAGATGGGGAGACAGGGACGAGTGGTGGACTCCGCAGCACGTAGAGGGAAGGCAGGGATGGAGACAGGGAAGCAGGGGAAAACGGTGGAGAGAGCAGCACGTGGAGGAAAGGCGGGGACAGAGGCAGGGACAAGCGTTAGAGACAGCAGAACGCGAAGGGAAGGCGGGGATGGAGGATGGAGATTGGGAGGCAGGGACAAGTGGTGGAGACAGTAGCGCTTGGAGGGAAGGCGGGGACGGAGACAGGGAGGCAGAGGCAAGTGGTGGAGACAGCAGCACGTGAAGGGAAGGTGGGGATGGAGATGGGGAGGCAGAGACAAGAGCTGAAGAAAGTTGCATGTGGAGGGAAGGCGTGGACAGAGGACAGAAACAGGGAGGCACAGGCAATTGGTGGAGACAGCAGCGTGTGGAGGGAAGCTGTGGCAGAGGGTGGAGTTGGGGAGACTGGGACAAGTGGTGGAGACAGCAGCGGGGGGAAGAAAGGTGGGGACAGAGGATGGAGATGGTGAAACAAGGACAAGTGGTAGAGACAGCAGCGCGTGGAAGGAAGGTGGGGACAGAGGACGGAGATGGGGAGCCAGGGACAAGTGGTAGACACAGTAGCGCATGGAGGGAAGGCGTGGACAGAAGACGGAGACTGGGAGGCAGGGACAGAGCTGCGGGGACGAAGCTGCTAGGCCTGCGCGTGTATTCATGGACGTGCAGCGGGTCAATCGCAGGGAGGAGAGACGAGTGGGGAGGATCCCGCCAATATTGTCGGGATCCCTCCTCAGTACAGAGCTTAGCCCTGCCTAGTGTCTAATATGTTGAATGATGGGCTTATGGTGAGCTTTTGATTACAGGAGTACATTGCAATACGAACTCCTGTATCATTAGCAATCTAAAACTGGAAAAAAACATTGGACCACATAGTTCTCCTTTAACATTTAGTGTCACTTTAAGCAGGAAAAGGTGTCACCATCAAAGGATTCCCCCTCTGCTCTAGTGACAATACAGGTGACAGCACTCACCAGGACATATAAAGGGGTAAAATACCATAGCATCAGGCATCGGTAAAGACCAATTGTCTAACCCTCTTGTACTCTACCCAAATCCCAAAAAAAATGCCTTCACATACGCTAACCGTCTGGCTTGAGATATGTTTTTTTAAAACACTCGTTTTTATTGCATTTTGAACATTGTAGCTTCTTATATAAGCTCCAAGATGCTTTGTATTGCGTCAAAGTGATCCGTCAGTGCAGTGAGTAAAGGCGTGCCTGTGTGTCTGTGTCTAGGATCTGCTCCCATACAGCGGAGGCTGAGCTGTTACGAGCTGGGAGTGACTGGTAGAAACCATCGAACACTGGGATCTATTCAACCTTACCAGAGGCTGCGTGTGCTCAACAAAAACCATGGCATCTCAATGTCCTAAATGTGACAAAACCGTCTATTTCGGTAAGGGGGATTTTACACTGATCATTTTATATCGTTTCATCATTCTGTATTAGCAGCATCTGCTGCTGGTGTGAATTGTATTTTCTTTATCTTAGGAGCGGATGTAATTCATTTGTAAATATTGTAATTCATCATTTAGGAAGATAATATTGCTGCATCGTTCTAACAAATAACAAATAACAGAACATGGCTCATGTACTCTGCCATCTCCTAGTCGGGAATGTATTGCTTTGTATTATTTGGATTCAAGGGAAATGCATTGCATGTCTATAGTATATTATGAGTACAAATGACAACATGTAGGCGATTGGAATATTCAGGATGATGTTATGGGCACTGGATGGCGTGATTTATTTCTGTTGGTCTAATTTGGCTTTTTATGCAGTGAATAGTAGAGTTCATTATTGTATTTACAATGATATTGAGGGGACTTTATCAATACTGGAGTAGGCAGAATTTGGGGCAGTTGTCCATGGCAACCAATCAGCATCCGCGTTTCATTTTCAAACCTTAATTGACAAACTGGAAAGAGAAGCTGATTGGTTGCCATGGGCAACTGCTCCAGATTTTGTCTGCTCCAGTATTGGTTTTCAGTGGTGTTTTCGTGTTAAAAAAAAAAGCCTTGTGTGTCTGAGTAAGGAGAATGATTTTACTAGGAGGAGTCGATCATGGGAAGACTATATAAATATGAATAACATGTCGACATTCCTAAACCCAGCATCTGCATCATTTTTATATAGAGTATGAATGGGCAATATCTTGAAAGCAGTAATAAATACCAAAAGAGTATTTATTGATGGACTGGATTTTGTCATTTGGCCAGAAATGGTTTGCCTTCACTGCATTTCTTTCTGTGCTATGGGATAACATGGTAAAGTTCAGCACTTCCCAAATACAGTAAACCCCCGTTATCCGGCATCAACGGGGATTGGTAGATTCTGGATAAATGTAGTTTCTGGTTGCTTAAGGGCTTGTTCACACCAATTGCGGTGCGTTCCAGGTGAGTAACTTCTGGAACGCACAGCAATTCCTCACTAAACTTCCTTTTGTTCCCTTCGTTCTGCATTGAAGTCAGTGGCACCACAGCCACGCCCCATGCCCGCAGTATGATCGGATGCGTGGGAAAACATTACCTGCATTACGGTCCACTGCGAACGCAAAAAAATGCTGCATGCTCTATTTTTTGTGCTCACACTGAACCGGAATGCAGGCAATGTTTTGCCACGCGTTCGATCTCACTGCGGGCGGGGGGCGTGGCTGTGGTGCTATTGACTTCAATGCACCACCACGCCCCCCTGCGCCCCAGAACGAAGGGGAAGTTCAGTGTGCGGTTGCTGGGCACTCCAACCGCTACTGCTCTGAAACGCACCACAATTGGTGTGAACAAGCCCTGAGAGTTACTATTAAAAATAGGTCTAACTAATGCCATACCCCATACCATACCATATCATAACATAAACTCTGTATTGACGTCATATTAATATTGAAATGCAGTAATCAAAAGCAAATTAAGACAAATAGACACACAATCGTTTCCAGAACAATACATGCCGCAGATCAGCAGAACAATTAGTACACTGGGAATTTTTTTTCTGGTTAGATGAGAGTTGTGGTTAGTTGAATTCAAGATAACAGAGAGTTTACTGTACTACCATTGTATACAAACACCTAGAAACTGTTTAAAGTGACACTAAACTCAGGAGTTAAAGGAGAACTATGAGGTGAGTGAAAATCACTCATCCTCATAGTTCGAGCCGACGTAGGACAATTAATCTGTCACAAGTCGGCTCAATAGATCGGGAAGTGAGCGAACACATACCGTTGATCGTTTACTTCTCGATCCTGTCCCTGACTGTCACTCACTGCTCCCTGCAGGGATTCCCCCCTCCCCGCTCTCATCCTCCAGCGTTGACTGGAGGAACGGACGGGGAGGGGGCGGGTACAGCTGGCTCTGCCTATCTAGAGGTCTGTCAATCACGCAGCTGGGTGGATCTCGACAGTAATGTCGGGATTTGTCCCGGCTGCGGCAGTCTCAGAACTCTTGCGGTATACTGAGCTTTGGGTCATGGGAGGACACTAGTTTGTGTCATCCCGTGACCCTTAGGAGAACTATGGGGAAAAATACCCCATAGTTCACCTTTAAGCAATAAACTATTAACAAAAATGTACCTATCATCTACAATGTGCTGTCACATAGGGGCTTGTGATCCCCCGATGTGATAGCAATTAAGTTAAGTAAAAAAAAAGTTTAAATAATAAAGTTAAATAAAATAAAATTGAAAATACCCCAAAAAAATGTAAAGCCCCCCCCCCAGGAATGTGCCCATACTAATTAATATACCTTGCCTCTTGGCCACTTTCTTCCAAGCCTGCCTACCTCTCCCTTTAGTTCCCACCAGATCAGACCAGCTCACTTTGCTGTGGCAACATTTCTGGGCCTTTGTTCCTGACTTGCTTTCCTTGACTTTTTGTGTACTGACTCAGCTTCTCTCTCCTGGTTTAGTTTGCTGCCTGCCCTTACCTTTGGCCTGTTTTCCGGATCTTGGTCTTCTCAGTTGGCATCTCAGCTTTACCAGTGCTGACTAGAACACTGCCACATCCCCCCCCTGCATGTACAATACTCTCCACGGGTGTACCTGGGTCCAAACGTCTGTGAGGGGGTCTGGGCAGAATATCCTCTGGCTCTTAGACCCTGTGCCCATGGGCTCATATCCTTGGAATCGTGACAATTGGGTAAAAAATTACTATTGTAGGTGTAGTGATTTTTTATTTCTGTAATGCATTGTTTTGTTAACAGGGTGCAGGGCAGCCACATGAGGACCTTGCATTTTAGTGCAAGGTCTGCTTTAAAGTTTAAACCATAAAATAAATGCCTGGAATGAGTATTTTTTAAATTCATTTTAACCATCCTTCCAAATTAGATACTACTGGATAGTGACATAAGAATATAAAAGGTATGAGATGACTTAATAGGAGTTGAGAAGTTACATCTACAGGCATTTGAACTCTAGTTTAAGTTTAGCAATGTAGTTGGTGAATAATGGAAGGAAACACAAACTTAACTGTTGCTATATATATATTTGGTGTAGAGTGCCTCGGTCGGTAGCAGAGGAAAAAAGCTCTGCCTAATAATTGCAAATTAGTGTTTATTTCCTGTTAGGTTCTGGCTCCATTGTTCAAAAATGTTCTTTTTAGACTTCTGTTTCCTCCTTTTTGTTAAATAAAATAAACACTAAAAGGAAAAAAATATATATTTACTTAATCACATTTTAGTTGTATTAGATAATTCAACACATTTGAAAAAAACAGATTATAAAATATAACAAATTTTACAAAATGAAGACCTGATTTAATTAACTTTTTTGTATGTAAAATACAATAGTATTTACATAGACTATTGCATTTCATTAAAGCCTTGAAGAATATTTTATAAACTCATATGCTTGTCTGTGTGCTGTAATTGTATGATTAAAAATATACATAGTTTAATTTTACATTTTGTACATAAAACAGGTTTAATTTATAACATAAGGCTTCATTCACACTATGCAATTTGGGATAACTGTGGCAGGAACCTACGGATTCCGGCCACAGGAATTCCAAATGGGGCACTGTTTTAAACACCAGGTGACAGCGGCCACATCTGCAAGCAGCAGTAATCGCATTGTGTGAACGAAGGCTAACAATAACTTTTAAAACAATAACTTGTCATATTTCTTAAGCATTTTCAGACTGTAGCATTGGAGTCTAATTATAGGGAAGTCATCTACTGGTAATATTGCAACATCTGTGGGATTAGTCTTTCACTGTTAGAGGTTATTTGGCTGTGGGCATACTAATGTGATCATCAGTGCTTAAGTACTATCTCAATGCAATTTAATTTTACATGTGAGCAGCTGTATTACATGTACTGTGTAACTGTATGTATGGGCTATTTCTGTAGCATCACCAGTTTCCAGTGCTTACAGTTCTCAAATAAGAACAAAGTGCATGATATAAGACTGCATAATACAAAAACAAGAGGATGTGGATTTGTTAAATATAACAGCAACTTATGCAAGATATAAAATAAGCATTACTGACTTAATTAGGGTATACAATTTCGAATTTTGAAGTTCATTGGAATATCTATCAATAAGTATGATGCAATCAACAAAGGTATATAAGTATTAGGTCTCCCAAAAACGTATTCTCATCTCACCCTTATGTAGATGAATATACAAAACGAAATAATATAGGGCTTTCTGAGATGAGAACAAAAACCACAATAGAATCAAACCAGTTTAATAAGATTTTCAAAATGTTTTTATTAACATAGAAAACAATAAAATAACAATAAACACACCCATAAAACAGATCATGATTGTTTAGCAGAGGATTTTCAAAGTCTTAAAGAATAAGACTAAACAATTGCATCTACAAATACAGAACCCATATGGTGTTAAGCACTGGATGTTTAAAGGCGATTCCGCCAATGTTCATAAATTGTTCCACCTTCAACGCGTTTTGCAAAACCGCTCAGGAAGGTGAGCGAAGTAATCTACGGTTCACAAATGCCAAATTAATGATGCAACATATGCACATATGGGGACTTAGATAGCATGGTTTTCCCCCTAACCACTTGTAAATACTGTACTGTATTGCACTCCAAGCATTTTTACTAAAACGATCCTCTAGTACGACCCAATAGAAAATGCTGCCAACCAAACAGGGAACCCTCAGACACAGAGAAAAAGGTAGAAACCAGGAGAAGCACCCCTCAAAACTCTGAAAACAATACACTAGCGTCAATATGAAATCATCTTTATATGATACATTGACCCTTTTATCCTCAAATTAAATTGAGCTAGAGCTCACCTTAGAGGGACAGAAGGCTGAAATGCGTAGAAAACCAGATAGTTCCCCAATATAGCTTCATTGTGTGACACTATGAATGACATTATATAGTTATATTGCCATTACTTTCAAAGTTTGTAAGAGGTTGTATGATAAGCATCTCT